CCACAAGGCCCACCTCCTGTGGTTCCACAGCCTTTTGATAGTGCTAACACATGGGCCTTTGGTGGACATCCAACACCCACACAGCAGCATGTGGTTTCCATGGAGCCTGCCATCCTGTCACTCCTTCTCAGCCTCTCCGTCATACACCGCCAGGGGTCACATCAGTGTTCCTTCAGGCCAGGCAGTGCATCATGTTTCATAGCAAGGCTCTCTTCCACCCAGGCTCTGTGTTGTCCTCCAGCCCCTTGGCAGGTGACCACACTGACCAGGGTCAGAGAGGCACCAGGCTTGGCCCTGAGGAGAGTAGGCTAATTAGAAACTGTGGGCCAGTCCGTGATGCCTGTGTGCAAAGCGCTCTTTGCCTGCTTTGGATGGCTGGAGCAGTTTAACTTCTCTGTGCTCTCCTCTCCTCATCCGTCAGCTGGGAATGACAATGCCCATCACTAGTCAGGAGGTGACTCCCAGAGAGAATGCAGGGACAAGCACACATATTTGGTCAGACTCACATTACTGAGTTAAAGGCCAGCTTGGAGGAGTCTGGAGTCTACAGGAAGTCTGTTTCACCCTGATGGAGGCTGTGGACTGACATTTCTGCAGGAATGGCTGTAGGAAAAGGCGAAGGCCAGTAACTCAAGCAGGGCATCCTATCCAGGGCCTACTGGCTGCACCAAAGGGTTTGTTTATAAGAAAAAGAGTGTGTCCATTAGGTGAGAGATCGCCCCCCACTCCCCTTTCTCTCTTCTCCTCCTCCTCCTCTCCTTCCCTTCCTTCTCTCCTCTCCTTTCTCCTTCTACTCTTCTTCCTCCTTCTCCCCCTCTTCCTCATCTTCTAAAGGAGGGGGGATCTTTACGTAGAAGTAGCCGTTCTACTTTGCATGCTCTTATGAGAATCTCGTACTTTTCACTCACTTGCTCGTCTCTCGTCTGGTGGCCGCCCTTCACTGCCTGCCCGTGAACAAACACCCTCGCTGTCCCGCTCTGGGCCGAGGAGTGTCAGTCTGGCCCCTGTGGCTCATTGTTCACTTGGATGTTCTAGTTCCCTTGGCCAGCTACTGCCCGGCAGCTCACCCGTCCATTTCCCCAGGTTTCCTGTGTTTGCATCTCGGCTTCTCCATTGTACCGAGGAGATAAGCCACATATAATATTTAGACTTCTGATTGCTGAGAAAGAAATCAGCAGGGTCAGAGCAGGAAGCCAGATCAGAGGATTAGATTCCAGGCCTGAACGTTTTCCTTTCCAATAGTTGCAGTGGTTTCTCATTGACCCTTCTTTCCCTGGGCATTGTCAAAGAGAGCGAAAGTATGGTTTTGTACTCAGATAAGAGTGTTCTTGGAGAATGGAGGTGGCTGGGGGAAGAATCCCACCCACTTCACGCCAGCCAGGTCAAGGCATTTGACATAAACGACCACAGTGCTCTGTTTGTTCAATCATGGTGACTTTAGAAAAATATCCATTAAGAAAGGCCTTCCTGTGACATTGCTGGATTCCAGGACATTCACAATGGGTTGCGGTGACCCTTGGCCCCATCGTTTTGCTGCTCAGCTGTCCACCAGATTCTTTCCACGTTTGCCCCTTTGCAGGGCATGGTATGGTAGGAGATGTGATGGGAGTGAGCTGGGGCCTACCTATTTCTTTCATGTTCATTGGGCTGGTTTTGGTCACTGGCCATCTTACCATCCTGAAAGGAAGCAGTTGCCCTGGGGACCAGACAGATACTTGTCCCCTCGGGGTACTTGCCTTTACCCGACCTTCAAATATTCTCAAGGCAGAGCCGCACCTGAATTCAACGTTGTACATTTAGCCTGGTCTAGCCCTCCTGTTACTGAAAATACCGATGAGGGGCAGACACTGGGGTCCTCTGTCCCTTGTCCTTGTCATGTGGGCGGCAGGAATCACGCTGCAGCCTTTCAGGATGTCCAGGCTATGTTAGGACTCACCACCAGCTCTGGAGATGGGCTGTGGGATGCTTTCAGGGGCAGATGTGCTATGGAGAACCTAGCCTTTGCTGAGTGGAGTCGGGGTAGTGGGTAGCTAGAGGCCACTCTTTCATGGGACACAATTTCTAGTGGTGGAGATGAGAGAAAGTGGCACAGACACTCAGCTAGAGATAGGCAAGAGAGCATTGAAAGAACGATACATGGCGCTGGTTACCTCTCGAAGCTGCCTAGTAGCAAGAGAACTTTATGGGGGGGGGGCA